GGATTGAACTGCGGTCCCTGTGCTTTGCTTAGCTTAGCTTGTTCTAAGTAGGTGCTTTAGACCACTGAGCCATCTCACCAGCCCCTAGAAATCTTCTTAAAGCAAGTACCTCTATATGTAAAAAGCCCCCCCCTTTTTTTTTCTCTTTAATTCAAAAAGTAATAGCTTTTCCTGGTTTAGGGTATTTTATCTATGTTAATGCCTGTTATTGATTGCTAATATTATAAAATTAGGAGTCTAATATGTTTTCTGTTCTCTAGAAATAGTATCTTGTCATTTTGTTAATTAGGGAATAATCAACTTTATGTCATTACAAAAAGTTTTTATGAAATGCCTAAATCTGTTATAGTTGTGATTATATTTTAAGTTTCATTTTTGTCTTGATGTTTTCCTCCTAGGCTGAAAATCTATTGTTAGATGCGGACATGAACATTAAAATAGCAGATTTTGGTTTTAGCAATGAATTTACTGTTGGCAGTAAACTAGACACGTTTTGTGGTAGTCCTCCATATGCAGCCCCAGAGCTCTTCCAGGGCAAGAAGTACGACGGGCCAGAGGTTGACGTGTGGAGTCTTGGCGTGATTCTCTACACTCTAGTCAGCGGGTCACTACCCTTTGACGGGCAAAATTTGAAGGTATAAGAAGCAATTGCAGCCATATTCTTCCCAAAACTAACGGGATGTTTATAAAATTCTATAGATTAATATTTTTATATTACTTTAGGGGTTTTAGTCAATGTGTGGGTTGGTTTTTGTTTTTTTTTTTAAACCTAAAAGTTGACTCACTTCTTTCTTTATATTCCAAAGGAATTGAGAGAAAGAGTATTAAGAGGGAAATACAGAATCCCTTTCTACATGTCCACAGACTGTGAAAACCTTCTCAAACGCTTCCTGGTGCTAAACCCAATTAAGCGTGGCACTCTAGAGGTAATCACACCAGTGGGTTGGGCATGTTGCGTATTTTCAGAACTTTGCTTGGTTGGTATGATATACTGAATGTACTTCACTGGTATTTTTTAAGAGGAAAGTGTGACCAAACCAGAAAAATTTACTTTATGAAGGGCCAGCAAGATAGTGAACTAAGCGCCTGCTTATGCAAGTGCAGGGACCAGGCTTCGATCCCAGGTACCGCATACCATGCTGGCCACTGATACCAGGCGTGGTGGCTCACACCTGTAATCCCACCACTGGGAAGGCTGAAGGCATGAGGATAACTTGGAATCCAAGCTGCATAGTGAGACCCTGTACCAAATACATTAAAAAGAAAAATTTACTTTTTGAGCTATAACAATGAAACATTTTCGTTTTTTTCTTTTTGTTTATGTATTTGGTACAGGGTCTCACTACACAGCTCAGACTTGTAGTGATCCTGCTTTCAGCCTCCTCAGCACTGGGATTGCAGGCGTGCACCACCATGCCAAGACATGTTGGCCCCAGGGATCAGGGCTGGCATGGCATACAGGACCCCGGATTTAACCCTGGTCCCTGCGCTTGCCAAAGCAGGCACTTAGTGCACTGAGCTATGTTGCTGGCCCTGAAATGTTTTCTTAAATATTATGATTACTGAGATGTTTGTGATGCTGATAAACAGTCTGCATTTTCAGCAAATCATGAAGGACAGGTGGATCAATGCAGGGCATGAAGAGGATGAACTTAAACCATTCGTTGAACCAGAACTAAACATCTCTGACCAGAAAAGAATAGGTAACTGTTCTGTGGCATTCTGTGTGTGTGTGTCTGCGTGCAGGGGTGTGTGTGTGTGCGTGCACGCTTGCGAATGTTTGTTTTGTCTCCAGTGTGTATGCTCCAAATATAGAAGAGGAAGTTACGCACTGAATGTATAGATCAGCTCCTTTGTTCTGCCATATTGAAGAACTTAGTAGTTTCCTATACCAGTACCCAGCAGCTTGTAAAAATGTTCAGCTGCTCATTTCTGTTAGAAAGTATGTAATCTTTTAGATCAAATAAAGAAAATTATTTTACTCTGTTAAATAATGATTTCTTATCCAAACAAAACATATAAAGTACGTTGTATCCTTCTTTTAGACATTATGGTGGGAATGGGATACTCACAAGAGGAAATCCAAGAGTCGCTTAGTAAAATGAAATATGATGAAATCACAGCGACGTATTTGTTGCTGGGGAGAAAATCTTCTGAGGTAAGAGTAATCAGGAAGAACCAAAATACTCTTTTGGGGACTGGGGCGGGGGCGGCGTTCTCTTTGCGACAAGGTGTCGCTATACAGTTCAAGCTGGCCTTGAGCTCACTTTTGTAGCCCAGGCTAGTCTTGGACTCACACCAGTTCTTCTGCCTCAGCCTCCTGAGTGCTGGGATCACAGGAGTGTGCCACCACATCCAGCCAAAATACTCTTTTTAAAAAATTGATGTTTATGTAAACTGTTTCCTTAGTTTTTTTCTTTTAATGTGTATGACATATTTGGCACTTCAGTTTTGAAATTTACCTGTAAGTAACTAATCTGTAAATGACCATTCTGAGCTACTACTTTAACTGCAAGATAATAACCCCATATAACAGATATTGTCATAAATATCAGCATTAATAAATTATTATATAGTCATTAATAGTTTAGAAATGGTTGTAAAAGATGAAATAAAATTTGCATGTCTACAGAATGTCTGTAGTTAGGGGGCCTGGCCCTAGCTCAGGCCTTTAAGCGGCTGCTTCCACAAAGCTGTCAGCCTCAGGTTGCTCGAGTTCGAACCTCACACCTCTCCCGCTGGCCAAAAGTGCCCTGAAGGCATTCGAGGAACAGAATGTCTGTAGTTATTTGAAACAGCTTAGAAGGCAGACCCTAATGCATTCCCTTTTGTGAGTTGCTTTTGCCCAAGTGTGGGGTTGTCACTTTGTATTTTGTGACCTACCCTCTCTGTGTGAGTGCTCTTGAGAGATTTGTGGTCAGGAGAACCCGAGTTTCCTAATAAGCCATTGGGGTCCATGTGTAGTTGCTACTCTTCTTGTTCTCCCCTAGCTGGATGCTAGTGACTCCAGTTCTAGCAGCAACCTTTCACTTGCTAAGGTGCGGCCAAGCAGTGACCTCAGCAATAGCACCAGCCAGTCTCCTCACCACAAAGTGCAGAGAAGTGTTTCTTCCAGCCAGAAGCAGAGGCGGTACAGTGACCACGGTGAGTCTAAGCTGTTCAATGGCTTCTTGGGGACCATCCTCTTGCATGGGGGATTTTAGAATAGAAATTGACTTGGTATCCACTTGTTGCATTGTTTGGCATTCCTGTAGTTGGTGACCTGATCCTGGCTTTTGCCTCCTGGATACATTTTATTCAGTGGGCTTCAAATGGGTGAGGCCAGAGTGGGTGGAAAGTGTACCCTCTGCCTTCCTGGATTCCTGCCTTATCCTCTATCTCTGTTCATCTCTTTATCTCTGCCTGGGCTTACTTTCTAGGATGGCACTGTGTGGGAACTCTGTATCTTTGTGGTCCTGCCCAGTGGCTTCTACCACTGGAAGCTATTGGGCACTTGAACTTTTTTAAAATTTTAATCCATGTCAATATGTGTAACTACCTGTGGCCAATGACCTCCCCGCCCCTTTGGACAGGGGGCTATCAAGAATACATGGTTCCTCAGTTCTGACTTGGATTAGCTTATTCTTTTTGAGACTTGTCTCTTTGTGCAGTTCAAGATGGCCTTGTGGGGCTGGTGAGATGGCTCAGTGGTCTAAAGCACCTACTTAGAACAAGCTTAGCAAAGCACAGGGACCGCGGTTCAATCCCCCAGCACCACATGCCAGCCAGCCCCGCCCCCTGGTGGGCTGAGCTGGCCACACACACACACACACACACACACACACACAAATTTTTTTAAAAGTTAAAAAAAATTAAAAAAAAAAAAAAAAAAAAAAGATGGCCTTGTGCTCACTTTTGTAGCCCCCAGGCTGGTCTTGAACTTGCAGTAATCCTCTTGCCTCAATCTGCCAAGTGCTGGGATTACGGACGTGTGCCACTCCACCTGGTTCCTGGCTTACATTTTTATTGTCATTCTCATCTCTATTCTTCCAGTTGGTGTGGCTGAGCCATGCTCACATAGTACTGCAACATAGAAACCACTACTTGGTGCGGCTGTGGGTCCCAGTGAATGTGCTGACTGAACCCAACAGGGATGCTGCCTTCAGGGCAGCCCTGAGTTGGAGTCCTGAGATGCTGCATGCCTGGTGGTTTCTTCACCGATAACTGCATGTGCACATGTAAAAGTTACAGGCCGCATTCTAAGGTTCAGGATCTACTTTTAGCCTGGTCTTAAGTTCCAAGAACAATCCTCATACAGAATCCCACGCGTCCCTTGCTTATTTTGTTTCCCTTCTCTGGATATTTTTTACCTCCATTCTTTCATCTAGAGATTTGAAATTGAGAACTACAGAGAGCATTCCAGGTGTGCACAGCTTGGGTTTTACATTAAAATAATAGCAGCTGGCTCTAGGGTTCAATACCCGGTTCCACAAAAAAAAAAAAAAAAAAAGGATATTCCAGAGATCTGTTTATAGAGAAGACTTGTGACTGACCAAGTCCCTAGCTGTTGTTTTGTTTTGTTTTGTTTTGTTTTTAATGGGGATGATAGTTGTAAATAGCAAAGGAAAGATCCAGCTGCACTATGATCTTCTGGTGCTGAAAAGAGACAGGTCCCCATATGACCCCTAACAAAGAGCACGCTGGGGAGCAGGGGAGAGCTGGGTCCAGCTAGCTGCCTCTTCTGGGTTTGTGCTGTGTCCAGCCACAATGTAGTGTGTAGCTGTGCTAAGTTTTGGGGGTTTTTTTGTTTGTTTGTTTGTTTGTGGGGGGGGGTGGAGCTTGGTTTGGTTTTTTGAGACAGGGTCTCACTACGTAGTCCAGGCTGGAGTTGAACTCACATTGATGCTCTGAATGCTGGGATTACTGGTGTGAGCTCCATGCCCCATTTGTAGCTGTGTTTTTAACTCTAGACCTTAGGTGTGATGCACTGCAATGTATACCCACTTTTCTGGAAAGAGTGATATTTATCAAGTTTTTAAAGGGTTCTCTATCACACATTTATTAATCCAGCTGAGCATGGCAGCACATTATAATTTTAGCACCTGGAGAGGCTGAGGCAGGCCTATGGCCAGCCTGGAACACAACAAGGAGAAAAGCAAAAACACTAATCAAAAAATGTATTGAGGCCAGGCATGACAGTGCACACCTATAATCCTAGCACTCAGGAGGCTGAGGCAAGAAGATCACCTTGAGTTCAAGGCCAGCCTCCTCGGCTAGATAGTGAGTTCAAGGCCTTCCTGAAGCAAGACTTCCTATTAAAAAAAAAAAAATGCTAAAACACTTTGAAAGTCATCATCAAAAAAAGGTTTGCATCTGTTTCTCACATCTTCAAAAGGATAAATTCATTTTGAAGTGAAGACGTAAATCTAAAATATAAGACCCTAGATATGCGAAAAGGAAACATGGGTGCTGGAGTTCTAGCTCAGTGGTAGAGCCTTGCCCAGCATGTGAGGTTCAGGCTTCAATTCCTAGTAACACATGGGAGGGAGGGAGGGAGAGAGGGAGAGCGGGCGGGAGGGAGGGAAAGATAGATTGACCAACCAACCAGAAGAGGCACGAAGATGAAAGGAAAGACGTAAAAATGAACTACAGAGCTGGAGAGATAGGTCAGTGGAATAAGCACCTGCCTGACAAGTGCAAGGTCCTGAGTTTGACCCCTGGTACCAAAACAAACAAAAAAATTAACTACAGAAAAATCAAATTTCTAAGTGATGTACCATGCCACCAACTACTTTTTTTTTTTTTTTCTTAGCACTACACATTGAGCTCAGGGTCTCAGGCATGCTATTCAAGCACTCTGTCATTGAGCTACATCCCTAAATTATACCGCCAACTACTGCCCAATACATAGAAACTAATAGAACCACACACGTTTCAAGGGACGTGTGCTGAGAGTGAGGCAGTCTCAGATTGCCTTCTGTAACAGCCTGAAATGACAGAATGTAAGAGACAGACAGAAAGACAGTGGTTTCCAGGGTTGGGGCATGGGGTGGGAGGGAGGGAGCTGAGGCCATGAAAAGGTGGCTGCTAGGTTTTTCCAGTGGAACTGTTCTGCACCTTGATTGGTGATGCCTGTAGGACTCTATACACAGGATGAAAGGATAAAGTACTGAAAACATAGCCGGAGAATCTGAATGAGGTTGTACACTCAATCTGCCTGTTTCCATTCAGAATCCCATATCCTAAAATTTAAAGATATAAAAATTCTGGGGCAGGGTTTTAGCTCAGTGGTGCAGTGCCAAGTGTGAGGTCCAGAGTTTGATACCCACTACCAGAAACAAAAACATTTTTTTCTAAATACAAAGGTTTCAAAGCAAATCAGTAGTGGCTAGGCGGGCATGGTGGCAACCCTTTCCCATGGGTTGAAGTGGTTCTTTTCTGATCTACACCTATAATCCTAGCACTGGATGGCTGAGGCAAGAGGCTCACTGAGAGTTTGAGCATACTGAAATTGTCTCAAAAAAACAAAAGAAAAAAGCAAATCAGAAGATAAATAGTAAGGGTAATATCAACCTATATGTGGCTATTTGTTTTGCATGTTAAATTTGCCAATCTGGGACCTTAATTGGTCTTCTCTCATTAATGAAGTCCTTGTTTCTTCCTAATTTAGTTTGAATTAGAGTTAGAATTTAGATTTTTACCCAAAAAGTAACTACTCTGTGCCTCCCTCCTTTCAAAGAACTAAAATAGCATCTTTTCTACCTTAGCATAAGCGATGAGCATTTGCTGCTATACCTTAAGATTTCCATAGGGCAAGCTGAGGAGATAGCTCAGCAGCATAAGCGCCTACCTGGCAAGCACAAGTTCCTGAGTTCAATCCCTGCTACAACATGCCATACCAGCCCTGGAACCCCTGGCACACAGAACCTTCTCCAGAACAGGGCATGATAGCACATGCCTGTAATCCCAGCACTGGGAAGGCTGACAGGAGAAGCACTAGGAATCCAAACTGTGTAGTGAGTGGCTGGGGAGATGGCTTAGTACAATAAGTGCTTCCCTGGCAAGCACAAGGGCCTGAGTTCAATCCCCGGTTCCAACAAAAAAACAAAAAACAAACTGTGTAGTGAGACACTATATGAACAAAAACAACAACAATAAAAGATTTCCATGGGGCATCATAGGCTCATGACTACACTAACTTCAATGTTTTTTTTAAATTCTCTGAACTCACTGTTGAGATCTCCAAATGGCTCACCATAGAACTAGTTGTTCGTGCACCTGGGTTATCACTGGTCCCTCCTTGGAAGACTCCTTCTAGAACAAAGCTATAACCAGGAACCTCTGCCTGCTTCCTCCCTGTTACATGGGGAGAGAATATGTTTTCCTCTGCTTCTGCCACCTTCTGGCAACTCAGATTGCTGTTATCTACAAACTATGCATGCATTTGTAAAAAACAAAAACAAAACCCGTGATGTCTGGACTGTTGTCTTGAAAAAGGTGCAGGCATCTCTTGTATGAAAAGGGCAGGTTGCTCAGCTGTACCGAGAGCGTGTGCCGGGTGTGCGTTTCCTATTTGTGCAGTGGCCCCCACCCCCACCCGCTTCCCAGAGGACAACTCGAGACACTGGGAAGGTGGTGAATTTTTAAAAATTTGGGAAGTAAGTGAAATTTTAAAATTAAATTTATTTCATAGGGGAGTATAAACATATGTAAATAGGAAACATCTTAAAAGAATTTTATTGTTTTACCCTTTTGAAGTAAATTTTAAAGAGTCAAGTTTTTACTCTTTATTTTAGCTGGACCAGCTATTCCTTCTGTTGTTGCATATCCAAAGAGGAGTCAGACCAGCACTGCAGACAGTGACCTCAAAGAAGATGGAATTCCCTCCAGGAAATCTAGCAGCAGTGCTGCAGGAGGAAAGGGAATCGCACCTGCCAGCCCCATGCTTGGGAACGCAAGTAATCCCAACAAGGCAGATATTCCTGAGCGCAAGAAAAGCCCTGCTGTCCCCAGTGTAAGTATCACTGGATTGCTGGGCTGGAACCAGCTATGCAACTTTTGCGAGTCCATCCCTTATACTCTGGGCTCTCCTCTGTCCTGCTAGGCCACCAGGCTCAGAATCCCACTTGATGCATTGTGGGTGTTTCTTATTGACATCCATTGTTTTATTTCATTCTCATTGATCTAGCACAATACCTGGCACTGGCTGATTTATGAGGAGCAGGAATTGATTTGATTCTGGAGGTTCTGGAGACTGAAAAGGCCTCATCGTCTGATGAGGACTGTTTGTCTGCTTCCGAGATGACACTCTGTTGCCACATGATTTATTAGACATTATCCTTGCAGAAGCTGTGACCCTGTCCCCTTTAAAGCACTAATGGCCCCTTAACCCCCACACCTCTTATCCCCCCCCCCCCCCCAGTTGTGGGATTGAACTCAGGGCTTTTACACTGTGCTGTGTATCTCAGCCTTTTTGTTTTATTTGGGACGGGGTCCTGCTAAGCGGCACAAGCTAACCTTAAACTTAGGATTTTCCTGCTTCAGCTCTTGAGTAGCTAGGATTATAATAGGCCTGTGCCATCATGCCAAGCTGACCTTCTTCATACCGTTACATGAGAGATTGTCAACATGAACTTACTATTGAGAGACTAACACTCAAGCTGTAGCATACCTCCCACATCCTAGAGATGTCACATGGTCCTGAGTGCAAGGCTCTTCCCGGTTACTTACATGTCTGCCAAGGCCACACAGTCTGACAGAGGGAGCCAGTAAAAATTGTCTGTGCAGAGGTACCAGCAGGCAGAAGCATGTTGTGCACAATGTCTGAAAACTGACCACTGTGTTTCAGGCAGGATCTGCTTGTACTAAGAACATGTCTTGGGGAGGTGGATCAGCTAGACACCAGCTTTTAATCCATACTTTAATAAAATACCTCCATGAGTAGGTGCTATTTGTTAAATTATATTAAAATCCATTCAGCTTCAGAAGCCTTTCCCATGGGTTGAAGTGGTTCTTTCTGATCTAGCACAGTAATAATTATTCTTTGCACTCCTGGAAGTAATTTTTGAAACAACGTGTAGAGAAATGAGTAATCTTAAGGTTGTTTTACAAGTATGTTGAGAGGAATGCAGCTGCACACCCTCAAAAAAAACCCAGACAGGAGCTTTGAACCTACTGCTCCCTTGTGTACCCTTCCTTATGTTGTTGTTGTTCAAACGCAGAACCTTGCGCTTGCCGGGCAAGCACTTGTGCCACTAAGCTGTTTCCCCAACTTCCTTGTGCCCCTCTGGGGACAGGAGTACATCAGGAGCCCAGGGTTATGTCTCATCCTCTGATATCACACTTGCTTTTGGCCTTTTTTATTGTGGTCTCCAAATGTCATGAGAATGTTGACCCACACGGCCTACTTTTGTTGACAGGAGAGGGGATAAGGATTTCAATCTCTGCCTTTGTGACTTTGTTCCTCATGCTCTCAACTCATCTTCATGCTGCCCTTGTAGAGTATATCCTGAGCTACCCATCCTTTGTCAGCTACCCATACTTGCCTATACATAAAAGAATAGTTAACATTTGTCATTAATTTTTGGAATTGCAATCCATCCTTACAGCTGTGGCACTCTGGTGAGATGACTCATCCTGGCAGGGGCAGGTGGCAGAGCAGACCACTTGCTTCCTGAGCCTGTCCCTTTATAGGTGCATCCCAGGGACCAAAGGACCCGACAGGGCCCCACCTCTAAAGGATCTCTTATCACCTCCTTAGTCTCACTCTCAGACCAAGTCTTTACTGTGTGGGTCTGTGGGGTACTCATCCAAGTTGTAACAGAACATGACTTCCTCTCATTTGCCTCTGGAATTTGCCTACACTGATCTGCTTGTGCTGTCAAAAAGGCGATCGCTCTGATTAAAAGTTTTGATTAGGCCAGGTGTGGTACAGGGAGGCCAAAATGAAAAGATCATGAGTTTAAGCCCAGCCTGGGCAATTGAGTTGAGGCCCTGTCTTAAAAAAGGATGTCATTTAACAGGTGGACCCCAAGTTAAAGCCCAGTACCACTAAAAAGAACAGTTAAGTTCAGATGTCGAGTGCTAGGATAGCATGTACCAGGCTCTGGGTTTAACTTTTGGGACCTGGAAAAAATTATAAGTGAATTTGTGAATTTATGATAAACTCCTTCATTGTGACTTTTTTTTTGGGGGGGGCCAGAACTAGGGATTGGACTTAGGTCCTTGCACTTGCCAGGAAAGCGCTTATTCCACTGAGCCATCTCCCTGGCCCCTCATTGTGACTTTTGATCCTTGCTTTTTTTTTTCTTTTCCCTCCGTTTTTATTTTGGGTCATTTGGAGTATGGTTGAGTTGTAAGAGAATTTCATGAGTCCTGAATAATAGACCTTAATCAGATACAAGCTTGTAAATATTTTCGCTGGTGGTGTAGTTTGTTTATTTTATTTATTTATTTTTGGTATTTTAGGGAAGGGTCTACAGGGTGTTCAGGGTCTCACTACTAGATCGGACTCATAGTGATCTCCTGTTTACAGCTTCCCAAGAGCTGGGATTATTGGTACCCCAATCTCAATTGCCTCTCAGTGCGTCCTGGGGGCAGGGCCAGCAGAGCAAGCCCGGGGATCAAACCCTAGCCCCTCCCCTGTGCCTGCTTGCAGGCGCTTTAATCTGCTGAGCTACACGGCAAGCCCTTGTTGTTGTTTTGAGATGGGGTCTCACTGTGCAGTTCTTTTTTTTTTTTTTTACACTTTATTTTGTGTGTGTGTGTGTGTGTGTGTGTGTGTGTGTGTAGCTCGCTCAACCAGGGGGGGGGGGGGCTGGCTGGCATGTGGTGCTGGAGGATCGAACCGCGGTCCCTGTGCTTTGCTAAGCTTGTTCTAAGTAGGTGCTTTAGACCACTGAGCCATCTCGCCAGCCCCATCACTGTGCAGTTCATGTAGGCTGTGATCTCACTTTGTAGCCCAAGCTGGCTTTGATCCTCCAACCTTAGCCTCTCAAGTCCTAGGATGATAGGCATGGGCCACCATACTCAGCCTATACTTAACTATAGATTAAGACAAAAACAGGGGCCGGGAAGATGGCTCAGTGGAATAAGCAGTTCCCTGGCACAAGGGCCTGAGTTCAAGCCCCAGTTCTGCCAAAAAAAAAAAAAAAGACAAAAATGCTGTTTTCTTGCAGAGCAACCCAGCATCTTGTGGAATGACACGGCGAAACACTTACGTTTGCAGTGAGAGAACTACTGCAGACAGACACTCAGTAATTCAGAATGGCAAGGAGAACAGGTATGGAATTATACTTGTTGGTAAGAAAAGTTTTTCCTAATAGATGGAGATACATTACTTTTCTTGTTTTCATAATCAAAATTCAAATAATAGTGTTCCCTGAAGGTAAGTTAAATTTCAGTTCTAATTTTCAGCAAAATACTAGGGCTTCTGGGGCCAGGGAGATGGTTCAGTAGAATAAGCTCTTGCCTAGCAAGTACAAGGGCCTGAGTTCAATCCCTGGTTCCACAAAAAAAAAAGGGATTCCAAATTCTTATCATACAGAGCACTTTTCTCCTGGCTGTGTATGAAGAGAATGGGATTGAGTTAAACTGGGGTGGTTTATTCAAGGAAGTAGATCTTAGTTTTCAAACAGTGACTAGGGAGATGATTTTGTAAACACGAATACCTGAAACATGCCAAATGCCGGGTGGATGGCAGCCTGGGAGGTGTGAGCCCACCAAGGCCCACACGTGTTCAGTGAGCCTGCAGGTGGCCACAGAGGCGTAGCGGGGAATACCTCGGAGAGGCACAGTCATACCCAGAAGAGAGTGAGAGTCAGTCTGCTGGAAGACATGAGGTACTGACACGTATTCTCACGTACAGCTCTGTACCATGCAGCCAGCTATCTTAGAATTACGAAACAAAAGACATAGTAATCACAAAAATTTGATTAGGTAAGTTTGGAGACTGTGAGTTACATTAATATGTTTGCCATAAGAGAAAAAGGTTGAGTTTGGAGAAAGTAAAGTGTATGTCTTCTGTATTTTTAAAAATTCCAGACTGACATGGAGTTTTCTTCATTTTTGGAAGTATATACACTAAATTTTGAGTGAGGATTTACATGTGAGTCCTAGAGTAAAAATCATGTGAAAGGAGTTCACATCTCTTGTTGTCCCCTGCCCTCCCAATTTGTCTGGTTGTGTCTGGCATCAAAGTGGTTTCTTTGGGGGCCTGCCCCTTAGCTCAGTTCTTTAAGTGGCTGCTTCAACAAAGCAGTCAGGCTCAGGTTGCTGTGATTCGATCCCCACAACTCAAGCCAGCCAAACCTGTCCTGAAGGCATTGGAGCAAAAAAAAAAAAAAAAAAAAATCCTTCTGCCTTGGAGCCAGGGAGATGGCTCAGTAGAATAAGTGCTAGGGTCTGAGTTCAATCCCCAGTTACACACACACACACAAATTAAAAATCAAAGTGGTTTCTTCCTGAAATTGAAGGTTTCTGTCTCCGTGAGATCCTATGAGTCACGTGATCCATGGGACTAGTAATCTCTGTATTGCCAGAGAAAGATCTTCTCTCTCCTTAAACCTATCGTGTCCCTGTTCCAAGATGCCACTTTAATTTGAACTCATGAGGCTAAACTTGTCATGTAAAGTTTTTTTTTTTTATCAGTTAGTGAATTTTTAGAAATATTTACATTACAGTAGTTTTCTTTTCCAACTCTTATGTGTGTTTTGGGGCCTGGCCCTAGCTCAGTTCTTTAAGTGGCTGCTTCCACAAAGCTGTCAGCCTCAGGTTGCTGTAGTTTGATCCCAACAACACTCCAGCCAGCCAAAAGTGCCCTGCAGGCATTCGAGGAGCAAAAAAAAAAAAATCCTTATGGGGCTGGTGAGATGGCTCAGTGGTCTAAAGCACCTACCTAGAACAAGCTAAGCAAAGCACAGGGACCGCGGTTCAATCCCCCAGCACCACATGCCAGCCAGCCCGCCCCCTGGTGGGCTGAGCTGGCCACACACACACAATTAAAAAAAATAATAATAATATGTGTGTTGTGACATTAATATTTTTTCTCTGGTAGATTTTCTTTTTCCCCATAATTTTATTGAGAAAGATTTTCCTTTTTTTCTTTTTTTTTTTCCTGTATTTAGGACAGGGTCTACAGGGTCTTACTATATAGATCAGACTCGTAGTGATTCTCCTGTTTTCAGCCTCCCAAGTTCCCAAGTGCTCGGATTATAGGCAGGCGCCACCATGCCCAGTCTCAGTCACAGTCTCAGCATACCCTGGGGGCGGGGCCAGTACAGCACACCCAGGATTGAACCCCAGCTGCTGCACTCTGCCTAAGCAGGCGCTTTAGTCTGCTGATCTATCACACTGGCCCTGGTAGATTTTCTTCTAATTCAATTCCATTGTGAATTCTATAAAATTTATTCTAGTTCACGAGTGACTTACAAGACTCAAAGTTCCTGAGGTTAGATTTCCTTGTATAGGACTAGGTACTATATTTAGGGCTTTCAAGGAAATAGATTTAATACAAGACACATAATTTATAAGAATGAATGAATGAATGAATTTATTTATTTATTTATTTATTTATTTATTTATTTATACTGGGGATCAAACTCAGGACCTTGCACTTGCCAGACAGGAACTTATGCCACTGAGTTCTCTCTCCAGCCCGACTATTTTATTTTAATCCTTTTTTTTTGGTGGAACCAGGGATTGAACTCAGGCCCTTGCGCTTGCCAGGGAAGCGCTTATTCTACTGAGCCATCTCCCCGGCCCCTCCAATTATTTTATAATATTCATCCAAAAAGTCAAATGCAGGGCCTGGCGAGATAGCTCAGTGGTCTAAAGCGCCTGCATAGGCAAGCGTGCAGGGACCTCAGTTCTATCCCCAGCACCACATGCCATGCCATGCCAGCCCCGCCCACAGGGTGGGCTGAGCTGACCATTAAAAAAAAGTCAAATGCAAAAGAGTACAGGAAATCTGTCCAAACATTAAAGACCCAAAGAATCCTGCTGAGGCTCTAAATCCCACGGCAATGTCCTACATGAATCCAGCTGGAAGCCAAGAGCCCCCAACAGTATCTCATGCAAGTCTATCAAGGATCTGCACTGGGAAGGCCCAAACATCAGAGGTGGAAGCCAGAAAGTCTGCACCAACAGAATGAAGGATCTGTGCCAGCAGGCTGAGGGGTCTGCCCTGGAGCCAGGAAGTGATGCTCAAGGCAAGAACCAGCGCTCCCCTGAAGAGAACCGCAGCCATCCACAGCAACATCGAGGATGTGAGCTCCTTCAACAGTGAGAATAGCTTGGGTGCATATCAGGAAAGCCAGTGCAGCAAGCTTCTCCAGGAGAACCAACAGTGTGCCATCTTCCCTTTCAGTTCTCCTCTTATGCTGTTGGCAACAATCGTCAGGTTGGCCTTTCGCAGCTAGCACTATCTGGGTGTCACAAGTTGACCACTAGTCAACCCACCACAGTAGAAAACTTGCTTCACAGCCTTCTGGTTCTTAGAATTGCTCTGTCTGGCTCCTTTGACCTTTAGATTAGGTGGCTCTGTGAAGTATATGAAATAAACTTTCAAGAGTGCTCAGCCCAGGGCCCTGTATGTGCCTCACCTTTGTCATACATTTTGTAGCCCAGGCTGGCCTCAAACTCTCAGCAGTTCTGCCTCAGCTTCCTGAGTACTGGAATTAGAGGTACGCACCACCATGCCCAGCTCTCTCTGTCTTATAAATTAATTTTTAAGACTGTTTAAAAGTGTTCGGTTTAAGGCTGAATTAGTGGTCACATTTTTTACAATGAGCTGAGGTGCTAAATGTGACAGTTTTCTTGTACACACTGAGACAGTGATTGAGACTGGGCGTGGTGGCATGCGTTCCTGTAATCCCAGCACTTGAGAGTCTGAAAACAAGAGGATTGCTATGAGTCTGATCTTTGTAGTGAGACCTTGTGAACCCTATACTAAATACATTTAAAGAAAAAGAGGGGCTAGGGAGATGGCTCAGTGGAATAAGTGCTTCCCTGGCAAGCTCAAGGACCTGAGTTCAGTTCCTGGTTCCGCAAAAAAAAAGAAAAAGAAAAAGAAAAGCTTAATGGGGGTGGAAATTGATGAATTTCTTTTTCTTTTTTCCTTTTTTTTTTTTTTTCTTCAGTACCAGGGATTGAACTCAGGACCCTGCGCTTGCTAGGGAAGCGCTTATTCCACTGAGCCATCTCCCCGGCCCCTAGTATTTTTTACATTGAGATAATTTTTATATCGTTTTATGTCATTTTCATTTGCTTATTTGTTCAGGCTAGTCTTGAACTCACGGTGTAGTCCATACAGGCTTCTCTGGCATTGAACTTGTCACAGTCCTCCTACCTCAGCCTCTCAAGTATTGGGATTGCAGGAATGCACTACCACGCCGGCTCCGTGCATGATCACAATTGATCACTGGCTAAGGATTCACTCATCAAGGGCCTCAAATCTCTTAGTAAGGCCTAACGCCCTCAGAACCCTACTCTGAACATAGAATGGTATTTCAGTTCACTAAATGGAGTTTTCCTCTTGCCACAAGCAGAATATTGACTTTTGATATATTTTTCGCTTTTTCTTTTCAAAATTAGCTTTACGTATGATTCTTTTTTTTTTTAAATTTATTTATTTATTTGTGTGTGTGTGTGTGTGTGTGTGTGTGGCCAGCTCAGCCCACCAGGGGGCGGGGCTGGCTGGCATGTGGTGCTGGGGGATTGAACTGTGGTCCCTGTGCTTTGCTAAGCTTGTCCTAAATAGGTGCTTTAGACCACTGAGCCATCTCACCAGCCCCTATGATTCTTATTAGTGCAGTCTTTGTTTCACAAGCATTCCTGTGTGAAAAATGGAGCTAATCATGATATCTAGGAACGCATGGCTTCCGGCCAGCTGCTACTTTGCCCTAAGTACATGTGTGTGGTTTTCCAAGTAAGGCTTGTTGCGAAGCCTGCTATCTTTATGACCAGGCTGTTTTCCACTGCAATACTCCTGATGCAAATTATTTACCTTCTTCTGATGACAGCCTCTAAAAATGATCCAAGTTCAGCACAGGTAGTGTAAACTCAGCAGGAGGGCCTTGGATTGTATCTTCAGTAGTGTGATGTATAGGATTATATAGATTGCAGTGAATCTTAAACATTTAGCACAGTCACGTGTAGCACTCAGCAAAATTTAGCTTTTGTTATTAATGATCTGTTCAGAAAGAATGTGAAGAATTTTTTTTTTTTTTGTTCCTCGAATGCCTTCAGGGCACTTTTGGCCAGCTGGAGAGTTGTGAGGTTTGA